CCACTTGAAACATATTTTGATCTATAAAAATAAATATTAGGTTTGGGAGTCGGTTATGTATGTGGAATGTTGTAGCACCCCCACAACTCCCGTCCAATGGATGGTACTAATTTGATTTCAAATCATCTAAGTCTTGATCATTTTTATGATTTACCAAGTAATTTAATATTAAAAATTAATCTTAAAATTGTTCTAATAGTTTGGTAGCAATTTAAGAAAATTCTTGCACCTCAGGAGTATTTATAGAGATTAATATCCCACTTTGAAGATGTTTCATCATCAGATTTATTAATTTTTATTCTAGAAAAAATAGTAAAGCCTCCTAATAGTTTAGTAAAGCTTACTTCAAAGTAATCCTCTAATAGTTTAGAGAATAAAAATTATTTTCGTTTATTTGAAAAGATTTTTTTATTTTTATTAAAAAGATTATTATTATTATTATTATTATTATTATTATTATTATTTGTATAATTTTTTTTTCAAAAATAAAATGGTAGAAATAACACTTTTTTTAAAAAAAATACAACAAAAAAAAATAATATGAAAAAAATAAAGGAAATAAAATGGGTTAAAAATAAAATAAAATAAAATAAAATCAAAATATAAAAATAAAATGAAAAAAAGAAAACCTACGATTGGGTCGGGTTGAAGTGCGGGTCTGCATGAGGGTTATTGGGTTTACGCGTAGATTCTAACTTATCCAAATCAACGTCGCTTGGCAACAGTATAAAAGTCACTTTTTACCGTTTTTCTTTAGAAGCTTTCTGTTCCCTCTCTTTTTACTCGAGTTTTTCTCTGCCTTCTCTTTAGAAATACCTACCAGAAACTTTAACTGATGATCTAAATCTATCGGTTTCTACAAAAGTTATCGAAAAATTCAATTCAAAATTGAAAACCTGTCAATTTTTGAAAAATTGGTCGGATTTGGAAATCTCGCCTTAATCTTGTTAGAAACTTCAAACGGCTGCCAAAAAATTCATCGAAAAATTCATGTTCTTTCCTAAAACCCAAAAAACCCAAATTTGTTTGAATTTTTCTCAAATTTCTCTAAATTTTTCCCAAATTATTTCCAAAACCTCCCAAAATCCTAATTCTAACCCAAAAACCTAAAATCAAATCCTAACTTCAAATTGAATCCAAAATCCTTGAATTAAACTCTTAGAACCCTCTCTACCAAAAATGTTTTAGACTTTTTCCAATAAGTTTCTCCTCTAAATTCTGTGTGTCCTCCCTCTGTAGAATTAGGCAAATTTATAAGCAATCCTAAGAATGATTTTAGGAAACAGACAGAATCAATCTTAAGCTCGAATATTGAGATTGCATTCTGTCCAACAAGATTTTTGGTCAAAATTTTAGCACTTATTGATTGAATTTTGACCAAGGGATTCTAATCTTGATTCCCTCTTTTTTTTTTTGTTCACGTGTGGATTGGAATATAAAAGGAAAGAAGAATAGAAAGAACATAAAAGAAAAAAAATGAAAAAATGAAAATATAATAATAATAATAATAATAATAATAATAATAATAATGATAATATAATAATAGTGACATTAATACTACTATATTATAATATATACAAAACCAAATAATAATAATAATAATAATAATAATAATAATAATAATAATAATAATGACCATATAGTAATAACATAATACCCTAATAACAAATATACAAAAGAGATTGGTTTAATGAGGTCCGGACACAAATGAGCCTAATTGGACCCAGACATAAATGGGTGTCTACAAATATTATATTATTATATTAATAAACTTATTATTTAATATATTAATTTAGTAAAAATATTATATTTAAGCACAATTAGATTTAATCTATCCATTCATCTATTTTATAAATTTATTCATTTTAACTTTTGTTTACTTTCATTTAAGGTGTTAACGTAAGATCTTTTTTTTTTTTTACTTTTTTTCCTTTTTATTTTTGGTCAAATTTTTTTAATATTTTCTATTTTTAAGTTAGATATGTTTGTTAAAAAATCTAATGGAGATAATGATGCAGTACCTCAATTTGATTTTTTTTATCTTTCATTTTTCTAATTACATGAATTTTACAACAAAGAGTCTAATGACTTTAGTCCAAGTGTTATATTTGGTTATTTACTAAAATCTTCTTTTGGAGACAAATGATGGATTGACAACAAAGGAACCAATGAGTAGGGATAATAAAACAATTCATATCCAATGGTTTTGATTTGACTTGATCCATTATAGGACAATTTTTTTAATTTTGAACTTTTTTCTCTTGTTCATTTATTATTTTTTATTAGATAAATTTTATAAACAATAATGTTAATGAAGATGTTCACGTAACAACCCCATTTGTTTATTTTCTTTCATATTTTTTTAATTAGATCAATTTTACAACAAAATAAATCGATTGATAAGGATGGTAAAATAATCAATATTTGATATATTTTTATCTATCTCGATTCAATTTTGTAAAAATTTGGTATCAAGTCAAATTGGATCATTTTTTATAAAGCAGAGATGGGTCAAAGATAAATTCAAGGTGTTTTACCTAAACCGTCCCGTGGCATATATAAAAGTATAATTTTATTATCTATTTAATTTTATATTTGTATATATGTATTATATTAATAAAGTTTGTTAGCTCAAAGACTTGAAATAAATCAAGAGGGGGGTGAATTGGTTGGTAATAAAATTTTCAAAAATCAATACTTAATAAGCACAAATCCTACAAAACAATTTATCTAAGCAAATGAACACAAATAAATGAGAGTAAATAAAAGATAGAGATAGAGAATTAGACACCAAGATTTATAAAGGTTCGGTCCTTTCTTTAAGCATTTACGTTATCTCTCTTAACCTTACTTGCCAAGGAGTTTAATCCACTATGTGTTACAAAATACAACCTAGCTTCTCAAAGCTTTACACAATCAACATCACAAACTTTTATGGGTTATCCTCTCTTTTAAGCTTACAATCTCACAATAGAAAAAGTTTCAGAAGTGTTTTACAAACTTAAAAAATATTTTTAAGGTTGTGTGTTTGCTAACTTGAAGTACACAACGATATTGACAAAAGAATTTGAAGAAAAACTGATACAAGAAGAATTTTTTGTATTTTTTCTTTTTAAACTGGTTTGAATGCTTGAACAAGATGGTTGATGAAGGCAATAAGTTCTCTTAGCTATTCTACCTCTTGATTTGTAGTAGAAGCCTTCATTTATATATAGGAAGGAGTTGATACCATTGCATTGCATTTAATGTTTCAAACTTGTAAAATTTCAAACAAAAAAATAGCATTGGGTCTTGCTGGGCATCAAGGGATCGATCCCCTCATGTAGGGGATCGATTGGTTTAGTTATGAAGAAAGCCCATTTATGCCTTAAAAAAGGCTTACCTGATCGATCAGGTAATATATTGGACAATGTTTGTAGGCTGCACAGTGTTCCTAATAGTATTGTATCAGATCAGGACAAGGTTTTTACCAGCTTATTTTGGCAAGAATTATTCAGATTGTTAGGGACAAAACTAAAGCTATCATCTTCTTATCACCCTCAAACTGATGGCCAAACAAAGGTTGTCAATAGGTGTTTGGAGATCTATTTACCGTAAATGACTGGAGAAAGGCCTAAGGATTGGTCTAAGTGGGTGCCTCTGGCTGAATGGTGGTATAAAACTAGCTACCATTCTTCCATTCGGACTACACCATATGAGATATTGTACGGCCAACTTGCCCTGATATACATGCCATATTTACCTGGAGACTCTAAGGTGGGAGAGGTGGACAGAAGTTTAAAAACCAGGGAGGCAACAATACAATTGATAAAATTCCATTTGAATTAAGCTAGGAACAAGATGAAACAGCAGGCTGATAAACACCGATCATACAGGACCTTCACAATAGGAGACTATGTTTTATGTTAAATTGCAATCTTATAGGCAATTATCGATTGCTAACAGGAGGTGCCTTGAGCTTGCAGCAAAATTTTTTGGGCCGTACAAAGTCATACAGAAGATAGGCGTTGTTGCTTACAGGCTGGAGTTGGGGCAAAAGACTTGTATACATCCAGTCTTTCATGTATCTCAGTTGAAGAAACATTCGGAAAGCACCAGCCTAATCCACTCTTCCACTACTTGATGACGATGGAACTCTGACTAAGGAACCAATCCCAATTTTGGACAAAAGGATGAAAAACAAATGCGGGAGTGCTTGTACAGTGGATCAATTGCTTTCTTGAAGATTTAACTTGGGAGGTCTTATATGAGTTGCAGAAACATTTCGTTGAGCAAATCTATATAAAAATAGTTAAAATGATTTAAATTTGTTTGTTAGTTAGATTATTCAGTAACTTCATTATGATGTAATAGTTGGGTGCTTGGCTGTTTTTTAGGTTGTTAATTGCTAATCAGTAACTTAACTTAATTATGATGTAATAATTAATTATATGAATATAATACTTGATTATAATTATAACTCTAAAAAAATATTAACAAGAAATATAATAAAAATTTTAACTTTAATTGATTTTTTAGTTTCAAAAAAAACTTTAATTAAAATTTTTAAAGATATGTAAGTACAATGTTGAATTTTTAATTTTAATAATTAAAATTTAAATGTGGATAATCTCATATACTTAAATAATAACTTTAATTCCAAAAGAATGCCCTTGTCATTTTTTTCTCCATAATAATTAATTACATTTTATAAATAAACCTTATTGTTAAATTTAAAATTTTTACTTTTTTGTATAACAAAATTTTATTTTATTTTTTTTTAAAATATAATGGAATTTTTTTGTTTCTATTTCATGTACTTTTACTTTCTATATTACAATTATTTATTTTGACTTTAACTTGGGCTTGATTAAGGTTTCTTTTGTTTGGGCCATTTGCTTGATTGCATTGCGCGTGTTTTGAAGTTGTATTAGCACAATACGGTGCGGTTTTTTTTTCCCAGATTAAGCCAGTTAACCTTTCTATTACACTCCCCACCTCCCCAAAGGCGTCGGCAACTACGACGGTGTTTCGGGTAATATTTTCTGCTTCCTTCTTCTATCTAATTAGATTTGATTTCATTGCCAATCTTTTTTCTTGTATACGTTAAATGATTTTTTGCTCATTGCCAACTTCGTATGTAGCATTAACTTCGACAGCTAATTGATAAAATTCACTGGCTTTTACACTCTAATTCTCACTAATCCTTCAAAAGTAAGTCAAAATACAATCTGGGTATAGGAAAATTGGATTAAAATTTATGAGCTTTGGGTTGTTTAAGTATTTTCATGTGCATTCATGATGTTATTGGTAAATTTTAATGCTTTTATTTTGTTTCTTGTACTCTAGGTGAGCTCTGATTCTTAATTAAAGTTCAAACAAAAAAAAAATGATCAAAGTTTACAACTGTCGTCACAAATTGTTGTTGGGGTGGATTGCATTGGTGAGAAGTTATTGTTCAAGTGAATCAACAAGGGATGTTTTAGTTACAAGCAAAAAGTTTGTAAAATCATGATGTCTTCTTCTCCAATGGTGCTTGATACAGCTCTTGATCAAAGTGGGCTAAGGGTTTCACCTGAAGTAGTGGAGGATGTTCTTAAGCGGTTCGAGAATGCTGGTATGTTGGCTTATAGATTTTTTGAATGGGCAGAGAAGCAGCGGAATTATATGCATAGTATTAGGGCTTATCATACTATGATTGAATCTTTGGCTAAGATAAGGCAGTACCAGATCATGTGGGATCTTGTGAATACGATGAGGAACAAGAGCATGTTGAATGTTGAAACGTTTTGTATTATTATGAGAAGGTATGCAAGGGTTCAGAAGGTGGAGGAAGCGATTTATACATTTAATGTCATGGAGAAGTATGGTGTACCGCCAAATTTAGCAGCATTTAATGGCTTACTAAGTACCTTATGTAAGTCCAAGAATGTGAGGAAAGCCCAGGAGATTTTTGATAGAATGAAAGATCAATTTGTGCTGGACTCAAAAACGTATAGTATTTTGCTTGAAGGATGGGGTAGGGCTCCGAATTTGCCAAAAGCTAGGGAGATCTTCAGAGAAATGGTTGATATGGGTTGTGACCCTGATATTGTGACCTATGGTATAATGGTTGACGTTGTCTGCAAGGCAGGGAGGGTGGACGAAGCTATTGGAATTGTTAGGGAAATGGATTCTAATGGTTGCAAGCCAACCTCTTTTATTTACAGTGTTTTGGTCCATACTTATGGGATAGAAAACAGAATTGAAGATGCTGTTGATGCATTCCTAGAGATGGAAAGAAATGGAATCAAGGCAGATGTGGTTGTGTATAATGCTCTGATTGGTGCTTTTTGTAAAGTAAACAAATTAAAGAATGTGTATAGGGTCTTAAATGAGATGGATTCCAAGGGTGTGGCACCAAACGCAAGGACCTGCAACATCATTCTCAACAGCTTGATAGGCCGTGGAGAGACTGATGAAGCTTTTAAGGTGTTCCGCAGGATGATCAAAGAATGTGAACCAGATTCAGACACGTATACAATAATGATAAAGATGTTCTGTGAGAGAGATGACTTAGACATGGCATTTAAAGTATGGAAGTACATGAAATTGAAGCACTTTATCCCAAGCATGCACACATTTTCAGTTCTCATACATGGATTATGTGAGAAGGGCAATGCTGCTAAGGCTTGTGTCCTACTAGAAGAGATGTTAGATAAAGGCATTCAGCCCTCAAGTCTGACCTTTGGGAGGTTAAGACAACTGCTTATAAAAGAAGGGAGAGAAGATGTACTCAAATTTCTTCAGGAGAAAATGAACCTCCTGATCAAAGAACCTTTATATGATTGAAGAATTTTCTTTTCCGCTGTTAATAATGCTGGACATATGGAATTCAAATACTTGGTTACAACATGGCACATGGTATTAAAGTACATATCAGTTTGTGCAGGTAACTTGTTTCTCTTTGATTTTCTTCTAAAGCGGTGACATTTATTGGTTGTGACACATATAAAAGAAAGAATATATGCTTGCTTCTTTTTTGTTTTCGCTCTCTTCTAACAATTTCAGTTTTGCCTTCTGGCAAAATAGCATCTCTCCTTTTAAATAGAGGTCACAAAAAGGGTGCGCAGAATGCTGCTCCAGATATCAAAGGAAAAGTGCAGGTAAATTTTGAAATTTTTATGAGTTACTTCTGGACCTTGAGTTGGATGTGAAAGTACCCCCACACCAAACTCCCCCAAGTTGTAAGGAATAGGTTTCCCTCTGTACATTGCCATCTACCTGCAAATGTCTAACTAGATTTGTCACTTAGAGGAATGGTTCAGAAATTCAATTAATGCTTTCTTAAGAATGGTAATGCTATATTAATGCTGGACAGTGTCGGAAAGTTCATTGTGTGCATCATATGTTGATGGAAGAATTTAGTCAGAACATTCAAAGTTTTCATAATTTAATAACCAATGTGGTTTTTAATACTTTAAGGCCTAACATTGCTGATATTTCAAGTGAACACAAGTATTATCATGAAACTCTTTATCTAAATGTAACTGCTTACATTTATTTGAAGGTCTAATAACAGAAATCTCTATGGAAACAGATTATATCAGAAAACTCTCTTATTCAATTGAAGAAAGCAGATGACATATTACAACAGTGAGCCATATGAAGCATCCCGCTAGAGGAGTAGCAACCATGTTTAGCTGAATCCTTGTCTATACTCTCTAGTAACTGATGAAAGTGGAGGACGAGGATTGTAATTGGATTTTTGGGCATACTTATAGATATCATAGAATGTTGAATGCAAGATTGGGCTCCCTGTAAGTCACGGTTTCTTTCAAGAGGAAAATAGAACAAATCGGCTCTTCGGTGCAAGGATTTGCTCAGTTCTTGTGTTTTAGATGTTAATAAGAATCAGATGTCAAATTGTCATAGGCAATTAGGCAAGCAAAATAATCATATATGCTGTCTTGATTAATACTGTCTAGTGACTTCTAAGGTCAGATAGATTTATGGATGCAGCCTGGTTATTTGATCTTATACCCATTTTGCGATGTTAATGGGTAACGAATTGAACTCACTCGTACAGTTTGATTTTGTTTAGTGAATTTACGCGCCATCATGAACATGCACCACCCATTTGCTTTCATACAAACTGGAATTTACTAATACGTTGTATTCATTATCTTCATTATAAGAATATTTGCCAAAACTAAATTACCTAGCACAAGTAGCACCTAAGCAAAATGGAGAACAAAACAATAATTCTCAAATTTCTTCATTCAATGGAAAAAAAAAAAGGGGTGCGCGGGGGGGGGGGGGGGTGGAAGATCTATGCCCAATCCACACATGTATTAATCCTTGTCCCCTTGGGGCCAATGACAAGTGGCTAGCAGTAATGTCAGCAAGAAAATCTCTAAATTGACATCACTACTGACTATTGATTGCACCTAGTACTTATAGAACAAAAACGTAACATTCTAATCAAATATTGTTTACGGTGAAAAGGAATGACATTTGAACTCAGTGTCTCTTTGTTTTTGATTCACTTTTAGAAAGCGTCACTCCCGAAATCTTGTTGATCTCATAAAGTAATCCAGCTGAGAACAAGAAACTGCATTGGATACAAAAATATGTGTTAGTATGTACACTTAAAACACAATGCTGATTTGCCATCAGTTGTGCTGATTGGTCCATATTATTTGTAAAATTTCTTTTCACAAAATGAAAGCCTCACAACAAGCAAGCTGTAATTGTTTCCAAAGTCAAAACCATTTCAGGTTTTTATGCTCAAATTGGCCCTCGATTCCACAGCATGTAAACGACTTATTAGGAATTATCTTTGACCAACAAATTTAAAAGAAAAATGCCACGTGTTAGTTATGTCATCAATTGGCTGCGTGAATGCTGACTTGGCAGTAATAAGTTTATTCAATATGTTTATGTTTAGATAAAAATAAGTAAAAGAAAGAAAGAGAAAGGAAAGTAAAAGAAATGAAATGAAATAAATTTTTCTTTTAAAAAAGTTAAATTATGCAATAGATATTTGTATTTTAATTAAATCATGAAATGACTCACTCTATCTTAATTTGTTCAAATTGAATTTTTATACTTCATTTAATTATCGATTTTAGTCAAAATTATTAGTGGTTCAAATTTTTTTCGTTAAATTGATGACATGACATTTTAACTTTTTTAACGTGATATTTTTATTTATGTGATTGTCAACTTTACTGACGTATAAAGTTCACGTGGTAAAAAATGAGATACGGCAAGTTTTTTTGACATGTCATTATTTTTCCTCGTTAACTTTTCTCAAATTATATGGTTCGTCCCTTTACTTTGGTTAAATGGTGAAACTAGTTCTTCTACTTTAATATGTGTTCAAATTTGATTCCTATACATTAATTAATTATTGAATTTAAGATTTAACCTAAAATAAGTAAAATAAAACTAAAATAAAAGACAAAAAAACTTTTCAATGCAAATAGGTCAAGTCATAAATAGAGTCAATGAATGGGTCAACATGTTAGTTGTATCATACCCATATTTTAAAACAACTTTGTTTAAACCTATTATAAAAAAAAAAATCAATTTTTTTTAATTTTCTTTTTTCTCCTCTTTCATCCTCATTTTCCTCTTATTTCCCTTTACAAGTCTCATTCAATGAACTTATATTTCAATGAGATTTCTAAAGACCAGTGATTGAAAAATTCAATGATCATAGAAAAAATTTATCCCAAAAACCATTAATACACAAAAATCAATTGCTGTTAAATTCTTAAAATTTTTCCAAATCAATCTTTCCAAAAATTTTCATATTTTTCTTATTTTTTCAATTTTCAATTTCCTTTTTTTTTTTTTTTTTTACTTTGACTTCTTAACTTTCACAAACTAAACAATAAAAATAAATAAATAAATAATAAATAAAATATTTTTGGGCCTTTAAATTTAGGCTTAAAATCCAATTTCACAATTAAACCCAATTGATCCAAAAATAATTTTAGAACCCAATGTCAAAATGACTTTCGAAACCCATTTAATATCGAAATAATTTTTGAAAAAAATAGAATGTCTACAATTACTTTTATTGTTAATTATGTATCTAGGTTTGTTGATTTTGGATTTCTTGATTTAATATTTACATTTCTGTCATTTTAAAAGCTTTTTATTTTTTATCTATTTTTTATTTTTTATATTTCAAAAATATTAAAAATAGTTATTGAAAAAAATGAAAATAAATCAAAATAAATAAATAAATAAAAGATAAAGAAAAGATATAATTTAGTTTATGTTGGGTTTATAATCTAATTTGAGATTAATCCAATTTATTAAATTAAGTCAATTAATAATTCAAATATCCAAAAAAATTTATCTAAATATGAAAAAAATGTCATAGTCAAATTAATAATTTTTTTATATGTTATTTTAGGTCAATTTTTAAATTCGATAATTAATTAATATATAGAGATCAAATTTGAACACACATTAAGCTAGAAGGACTTATTCTATTATTTAACCAAAATATAGGGATGAGCCATATAATTTTAAAAAAAAACTAACGTAGAAAAATGGTGACGTGTTAAATAATTTTGTCATATCATCATCTTTGACCACATGGACTTTACACGTCAACAAAGTCAACGGCCACATAAGCAAAAATGCTACATTAAAAAAGTCAAAAGCCATATCATCAATTTTAAACTGTTGATAATTTGACTAAATTTGATAATTAAATGAAGTATAGAGATTTAATTTGAGCACATTAAGATAGAATGATTAATTTCACTATTAACTAAAGAAAATATATCTATTGTATAATTTGACCTGCATAGAAAAGAAAGGATATATGTATATTTTGGTTGACCAGTTAAAATTAATAAAGAAAAAAAATGAAAGAAATTTTAATAATTATTATTTGGTCAATGAATGAAAAGAAAAGAAAAGAAAAAAATTAATTATAATATTATGTTCCAATTACACTTGTTTTAATTAAAATGTTTCATTTATTATAGGAATAATTTAAAACTAATTGTTTTAAGTAGAAAGAAAGAAGTAATAGTACATGTATAAAAAAATTATCATTCAAAACAAATAATAGAAATTCAAATTTGTGTTATGACATAAGCACGGTGCACATAATGCAAGAAAATTAAGAGAACGATCTTACAATAGAGTAACAAAAATGCTTTAGAAATCTTCACGCAATCAATCAACAATATCATATAATATCATATAGATAAATGCAAAAAATAAAAGCTAAAAGTTTATTGGGCATCTTTAAAGTAATAGTAAAGGGTGGAAAATGTTTTATCTTTGGCAACTAAAAACAATAATCTAATAAGAAAAGGAAAACTATGTAACTTCTTCTTCTTTATGTATAGGGATGTCAATCTTACTTATATCCAATGAAGAACTTGATTTTTTATTCGAATAAGGATGGAAATAAGTATTACATTATGGGTATGGAGATAAATATGATATAATTTTAAATTTTTATTGATACAGGGATTGAGACGAGTAACATAGCACCTATCATGTACTGTACTTTACATATATATTTATATATTTAGTAAATAGATTTTTTACTAAATATAAATTATTATTTTAGATTAATTAAAATTATTATATTTTTATTGAAAAAATATATATTAATATATATTTATAAAAAAATTATGTAAATATACAAGATTAATATAAAAAAACTAAAAAATATATAGTTATTTTTATTTTTTGAAAAGCTATGGGTACGGTGATTCCTCATACCCATTACACACCCATTGAGATTGAAATGGGAATAAATTTGAAATACTCGTGAGAATGGGTATGAGGATCGGTATAAAAATACCTGATAAGGATGAAGAATGCTTTACCCGTCACATATCCTACTCATTAACATCCCTATTTATGTATATTATGGCATATTGGCTACAAAATTGATTAAACAGTGGATTGTTAAGCTTGATAGTAAGCACTCCTCAAAAGTTAAATTATAGATTAATTTGTTACAAAAATTATTTTAATATAATAAGGGTATAAATGTTATTTTACATTTAAAAAATTTTATTCATTTTTTCCTTAGTTTTTCTCCCAATGTAGGGTAATTGAAAACAAAAGCGTTTGGTGAAAAATAAGGGGTGTTCAATCCCACTCGCTTTCTCTTATTTCAAGTTAAATTCATACTATTAATTTTGGTCATTTTGACCAAAATTTTGAGTTTCCTTAAAGGGTGACAAACGATGCTCCCTCATCTTTTTTTTTTTTCTTAATTTTTTAAAATATATTTTTAAATATTTTAAAATAATTTTTAAAAAGATTTAATTATTTTAAGGTGGGATCCATTTTATACCAAGTTTTTTTTCTTTTTTTCTTTTTCCTTTTAGCCTTTTTTTAATCATTTTTTCTTTTTTTTTTCGAAACTTTAATTAGTGTTTTTTTTTAAATTTAATTTTTTGTGTAAAAGCCACTTGATACTAAGGATACGTCACATATTTAGTGTTTCTATTATTTTTCTTTTATATATTTAATAAATATTTTTAATATTTTAAGTTCGTTTTTGTTTGACTCACTTGATAGTAATGATATATAATTTTTCAAGTCATTTGCTTTCTTTCTTTTTTTTTAATTTTTTCTATTAATATTTTTTAATGATTTTAATTTTTTTGTGTGACTCATTTGATACCAATGGTATGTAACATTTTTTTCTATTATTTTCCTTTTTTATATATTCAATAAATATTTTTTAAGATTTTAAATTCTTTTTAACTAACATACTTGATATCAATGGTACGTCACATATCAAGTCATTTGCTTTCCTTTTTTTTTTTCTTTTTTTAGATTTTTTTATCTTTTAAATATTTAATAATTTTTTTATATTTTAACATTTTTTAAAATGAAGCCCTTTTGATATTGTTGATTAAAAATTTTTTCTTTTTTCTTTTATAACTTGATAATCTTTTATGAAAAGGATGTTACAGATATGTCAACATTACATCTAGATTTGGAATTTGTTTCTTTTTTCTGTCCTTTTTTTGTTTTTTTAATTTTTGCTTTTTTAAAACCCATGATTAAGTTTAAAAGAAAACTCATTATTTAGATATATGTATTATATGAATAAAATTATTATTTAATACCTTAATTTAATAAATCTACATGTCATTCTAATTTAACTTCATTTTCTTCCCTTATTTTCTTGTAATTTTTCTT